ATATATATATATATATATATATATATATGGAAAATTATGGCAATATGTCATATTTATAGTCGAGAAGAATGGCAATGTATGCATATCGATTTTGCACGAACCTGGAGATGATAAATGGGGTTATGAAAAAGCATCAGAACGGTGGTTACCAGTTCACACAGTTGAGACTATCTTGATAAGTGTTATTAGTATGCTCGCAGATCCTAATGATGAAAGTCCTGCTAATGTGGATGCTGCCGTAAATAATATTTTATTTTATAAATACTTATATTATTTATGTATTGTATAATTATTTATTTTTTTAATCTTAATTGATATATTATAGAAAGAGTGGAGGGAAAGTTATGCAGAATTCAAAAGAAAGGTGGCGAGGTGTGTCAGAAAAAGCCAAGAGGAGTGTTTGTAGGAGATGAACAATTATTCAAATGGAAAGACTTATTTAATTCCGGTATGTTTTATGCAATATGTTTTGCAATAATCATGTAAATAATTTTAATGATATATTTAGATAAATTTTCTCTTTATATCTCTATAGGGAAGCCGTAAGCACTGTAAGAAAGAAACCGATGCTCAGCATTAAGCTAATGGATAACAGTGCCACTAAAAACGGATATAGCCTGACCCATTCTTAAGCAGAAAAAGGGAGGCAGAGTATGTGTGACAATAAAAGATAAAATCACACATCTCTATGAAGTTTATACCACCGCCACTGACGTACCATCCATTGATACGAAGAACATAAGGGAAATACATGCAGCTCACCTTTTACATAATAAACAACTAAAAAACTAATTTACACATATACATAATACAAAAAAAATTATCTGTACGATTATTATCTTAATATTGATAGTTATAAACTTAACTTCCCTGTTCCTCCTGCTCAAGAGTTAGCCCTCACCCTTTACACCTAAAAGCCTGTAATTTAAAATGTTTACGTTTATTATTGAATAATAATTCCTTAGTGGCGTTTCGTATTTTCTTACTTTCGTAAATATACATAAATAAATTTTTGTAAAGTCAAATACACGGTATATATATGCTACAGTCGTTAAATGTAATGCCAGTAAAAAATGGAAACGAAATATATGTGAATCAATTGTGACACTGCGGCAAACATAATGTCGATTAAACTGTACAATCGCGGCTATGTAAAGAGATGAAATTTCCGTTGAACCGTAAGTTGCCAAAATAACGAATTCTAATTAAAGTGATAATAATGCTAATAATAATATTATTATTAGATATAATATCATTAATTACAAATAGTAAACTTAACGTAAAAATTTCGTACATAACTACAAAAACTTTGTACGCATTTTAACCAGTGCCAGTTTTTGAAGTGATTATTAAAAAAAAATTCTATCTTTTTAATTATATTTAAACTTGCGGTTCGAAGTCATAGATACATTCAAATTTTTTATCCGACTACATATAATTTCATACTGTCAATTAAATTCTACAATATGGAAAACGTCTATTACATTGAACCTGTATTCTATTTATGTTATTTAGTACGAAAAGAATTTTTTTTTTTTATTACTTATTAATGAAACAAATTAATTCTTTTTTTATACTGTGATTAATTATCTGCCGATATAATAAATAATATCTTATTTTAAATGAATTAGAAGATAAGATTTTAAATGAAATTATTTTAATTTTTTTTATAAATCATTTTTTGTTCGTTTTTTTTTTAAATTGATTTATAATTGCGTTTAATACATTATATATTGTTCTTTATATATTGTTTTTACATATTAGTGCTTGGTATATTGGGTTTTAGGTATCAAAAAATTGATAAATATTTATATGTATTGTATACTTAAACAGTAAAGTAATGAATTTTATAATTTTAATGATAAAAATAACTGATATAGAATATAAATATATTAAAATTATTCAATTATACATTTTTTTTAATAATATAAATTTATATTATTCAATTGTTAGAAAACCGTTAATATATCTAATATTTGATTTCGATGTGCACATATTTACATGTACACAATATTTATTGAAAAAGGTTAATTCGAATGATTGAAAATAATTCACCAATAAAATATGTAATTATAATAAAATTTTTAATTTAGATTTATATAATAAAAAATTGAAATTGTTATGATAAAAAATTGATAAAAACATGTACTAAAATAATATATTGTCTGTGATAATATTAAAATATATTGAATTTAATTGGAAACAGAGATCTATAGGAAATGTTTATAAATTAAATTTAACAATGCAACATAAAGAATTCAAATTTTCTTTTACTGTGCACAGTTCAGAAGTTTGTCTCCAAGGCGGATAAGGACAAGAAGAGTTTTCCCCTCCTTTAATCACTAACACACAGTCCTATATAATTTTATTTGTAGATGTGACACTTTAAACTATTGTGTGTGCTTATTTGTGCGATTTTGTTGGCTCTGTAAGAAATAACCAATCAGACTGATATTCCTTCTAGGAATTAAATTTCTAAATTCTATATTGTGTACAGTAACCATGCTTTAGGTTCTTATGATGTTTTTCGAAGTTCTAGTTTCATGTTTTTGTTTACATTATGAGTTACATGTGTATAATAACAAGTACAATAATAATAATTTAACGTCGTATTTTCATACAATTCTTAAAAATATATAAAAATAAATATTTAGATTTAAGTTAAAATTATTACATAAACTTAAAATATTATTTTATAAAAAAAATTAAACAATAATGTTATGATTAATATTATTTATGTTTTATTTCTGTTTAATTTTATTTTTTTCTATTAAAAAATTTGACATAGCACATTTTTTTTGGTTTCTATTAAACCAAGTAATTTATAATTATGAATGATGAACAAATTGTTTTAACATTACCTCCTACTCAAGATGCAGAATCAATATGTTTTACTCAATCACAAGAATTATTACAAGAAAAACCTATGATTGTATGGGGTAGACTATGTCCAAGTAAATTACCTTTTAGAACAATGGGTATGAATATATTTTTCATTATTAATTATTTATTAATAATTTAATATTGTGCATTATATTATATGTTTCTTATGTTATTAATTTGAATTTATAAAAATAATTTACTAAAATATTGATATTAAATAAAAATAATTATTTTTATAGAAATGACTAAAGATGTATATACACTTGGTCGCTCACAAAACTGTGATATTTGTATAACTAATAATGAATTAAAACCAAAGTGGCTTAGTGTAATGAGTAAGATACATTTCAAGATAAGTAGAGAATTTATTGATGATAATACCAATGATGCCATAGTATATTTAGAAGACTTAAGCCAAAATGGAACTTTTGTTAATGGAAAAAAAGTAGGACGTGGGAATAAAGTAATTCTTGAAAGTAATGACAAAATAGCTTTAGCACAACCTATAGTTATTGGTAAATATTTCATATTTTATATAAATATATATAAAATATATGCAAATATAAATTTTCTACATAAGCTTTATATTTTCTTTATAATATTATAACAGTTTATGTCTTCATGAGTACAACAGCTTTTGAAAGTAATAATTTACCACCTGAACTCAAAAGTAAATATACAGTATCACGTAAATTAGGATCTGGAGCATGTGGAGAGGTGAAAATGATATTTAATAAAGTTGGTTGTAAAAAATTTGCCTTGAAAACTATTATGAAATTAGGTAGTACAACAAATGGGCAAAAACATCCGTTAAATGATCCTGAAAAAATTATGAATGAAGTTAAAATTTTGAAAGCTCTAAAACATGTAAGTTAATATATCAATTATTAAAAATTATTATTATATAATATATTAATATATTTTCTATTCTTTAGCCTTGTATAATTCGAATGGAAGAAATTGTGGATACTCCGAAAGCAGTATATATAGTTTTAGAATTAATGGAAGGTGGTGAACTTTTCGAAAGAATAAAAAGTAGAGGAAGATTATCAGAAAAACATGCAAAATTAATCTTTTATCAGGTTGTATTAGCTGTTAGTTACCTTCATGACTGTGGTATAACTCATAGAGATTTAAAGGTATTTATACTTTTTAAATATTTTTGATATTTAATTCATAAAGTATTTAATTCAAAATATAAATTATAAATGAATATTATTTTTACATTAATAGCCAGAAAATATATTATTAGCTAGTAATTCAGATATTACATTAGCAAAAGTATCAGATTTTGGTTTATCAAAATTAGTTGATGCTCAAACTATGATGAAAACATTTTGTGGAACTCCTATGTATGTTGCACCTGAAATATTATCTACTATTGGACGAGGTTCTTATACAAATCAAGTATGTTTACCTGCATAAAAATATATATAGTAAATATAAAATAAATTTATATACTATTCATATTTATAAATTTATCAGGTTGATGTATGGAGTTTGGGAGTAATATTATATGCTTGTTTAAGTGGTTCAGTTCCTTTTAATTGTCAAGATAAAAATATTAGTTTACAAGATCAAATAAAAAAAGGACAATATAGCTTTCCTTCTTCAAAATTTGGACATATAACAAGTAAAGCTATAGATTTGGTACAGTATTATCTAATAAAATGTTATTGAAATAGATTATATAAATAAAAATATTTGTATTTTCTAATAATATGGTATTTTAGATCAAACGAATGATGACAGTTAATCCAAAGAAAAGGATTACAATCAAACAAGTTTTGTTACATCCTTGGTTACAAGACCGTGAACTTCGAGAAAGTATTGACATGATATTATCAAAAGAAAATGATGAAAATATACCACCTGAAAGTATTTCTTCTAATATTCAATGTAAAAATGAACAATATCAAAATTTGATCAAAAGAGCAAGATTAGAAATATAGTTAATAATATATAACTTAGGTAATATATATAAATACTTTTTTAAAATTGTTTATTAAATTTATTTCCAAATAATTTATAAAATTATTTTGTTTATTAAAATTATTTATATTAGAATGAAAAAGTTTTGCATTACATACATTTTGATCTAATATTATTTTGAAAATCATTGAAATCTATTTATTACAAATTAAATATTTATAATGTAAATTGATTAATTAAATAATGTCCATTAGATTAATCAGTCTAAGTTTAGACATATCATAAAAGTTCAATCTAATTATTCATTGAGTTAACAAAAGAGATAAATTAAAGTAATAATACTTTAAATTAATTATTTCATTTTATTTTAATAGTATCATTTCAATAATTATTGAATTCTAATCTATTATGAATCTGTTGTAAATGAAACATTATTAATATAAACTAAATAATTCAATATTTAAAATTTTAATATTTAAGTTTATTTAATATTTAAGTTTAAATATATTACAAGAATTCAATTTAATTTTTCATTGAAGGAATTTTTTCATTAACAAGGAAAATAAATTAAAATACAATATAAATTAAACATTAAATTAATTTAATCTTCACAAGTATACATATAAGAGTAGTATAAATAAAATTAAAAATATAGAAAACTAAGTAAGTGATATGAAACTATGTAACTGATATGTACAAAATATTTTATATTTTTGTGTGTTGTGTGTTTTGTAATGATTATTAAAAATTCGTTGTCTTTGTGCCAATTTTTGCTAAAATTTTCGTATATATTAATACAAATAATTTTTTCAATATATCGCGAAAACTAAACTTAATTATTTTTTCATTTCATCAAAAAAAAAAAATAAACTCTTGTATATAATAAGAAAATGCAATTTATATACAATTACAAATCGTATAAAGATGTAATGTTTTATTGATCACGTTTTTTCATTTTTATCTATTCCTCTCTACATGGATACTCTTCTTCGCCTCGACATGGATTTGGAATTGGAGTTTCTATATCTGGTCGTTCTTTTTTAGCAAGTCCCGCTAACAATCGTTTTATTTGAGCTACTGCTTTTCCAGGATTCAAACCCTTTAAAAGATATTTATATAATAATAGAAATAAATTATTAAAAATGATCTAATTTTTTATTTTTTTTAAATTTTATTGAATTATAAACTTAATATTTCATACCTTCGGACAAGTTTTTGTGCAATTAAAAATAGTGTGACATCGATATACCGAGTAATAATCACGTAATTTATTAAGTCTTTCTTTATGCCCCATGTCACGTGAATCTATTATCCACCTATAAGCCTATATGATAAGAAAATTAAAATTAAATTTAAAATTTATTAAAATTTTATTTTTTATTTATAAAATTATTTTTTGTACAAATAATCAAATTTTTTATATATGACATACCTGCAAAAGAGTTGATGGACCTAAAAATTTATCACCGAGCCACCAATACGGTGGACAAGCAAAAGTACAACATCCACATAAGATACACTCGTATAAGCCATTAAGTTTATCTCTATCTCTTGGACTCTGTAGAATTTGCCGTAAACCGACATAATTATCTTCTCCAGTTCGTTTTAAAAATGGTTCAATATTTTTATATTGTTTCAAATATTGTTCCAAATCCGTTACTAAATCTCTAATTACGTATGCGTGTGGTAAAGGATAAATAACTATAGGCTTTGATGATTCTAATGCTTTTCTAAAAAAAAAAAAAAAAAAAAAGAAAAAATAAGATACTATACAATTTTATAATAATAAAAATATTAAATTTTACAATTTTTAAATAACTATGACTCGTACAAGAATAAATAATCGAGCAAAATTAAATCTATAGTATATTTATATCATCATTATGAAACAACAAAAAAAAATATTTTTCCCGCATTACGTGATGCAAGCCAAGTTATTGACACCATTTATATTCATTGCACAACATCCACAAATTCCCTCACGACAGGATTTTCGATAGGATAACGTGGGATCATATTCTGCTTTTATTAATGCCAATACATCTAATACCATTGTACCATTGCATTTATTTAAATCCACACTAAATTGTTGCATATATGGTTTTACATTTGGCTTTTCTGGATTCCAACGATATACCCGAATAGTTTGTAATCTTGGTTTTATATCTGTTTTTCGTTCCTAAAAATTAATCAAACCAAGTCATTTAAATTACTTATATTTATTTTTTAAAATTGTTAAAACAATTTATATCTAATACTATATTGAATTTAATGTATTATATATATATCAATATATACATATAAATAATATAACTTATATAATTTTATCATTTTTAAAAATAAAATATTACAACTGAATTTATATAGAATCGATAAGATGAAAAGAAAGACGAAATATGTTATAACATATGAGGAAACGAAGAAAGCTTTTGATAAGTTTCTTTAATATAACTGTAACATTTATGGCTGCTAACTTCTGGAGGTGTTTTGCATTCTTTCACAATAGCAATTTCGGCGGTCACAAGTTTATCTTCCTCAGATGGTGGCTTTTCTGCCTTTTTTGTACTGGACAGAAATCTATGGCTTCGAAAACGGTTATTTTGACATTTGTATCGACGAAGAGATGCAATTGTACAAGACCAAAATTGGCTCGCATGACTGATAGTGTTAAAGTTGAACATAATTCTAAAAGTTTTATGAGAAACCTTTTATAAGTGCCACCTGAGATTCTATAAAGGCATATTTCGTTTTTCTAATCTTTCGATCATTTTGTTTTATAGTGACTGTATAATTCTTAGATAAAAGAGAAACAAAATATCATCATTTGAAATAACTTCATAGTTATTCTCAATAATTTTTTCTTAAAAATGAAAATATTGTAATATATAATTTATATGCTAATATATATTTGATGAGAAAATAAATAATAATATGTTTTGAGAATAATAATGTTTTAATTTATGATTAAATAAACATATGTGTAAAAATGTATGTATATAAGTATACAATCATAATTCGTAATTATTTGTTAAAACAAATGATAACATTTTAGTACATACTATCCTAAAAATAAAAATATTTCCATTCCTTAATATTAATTTCATTCGTTTCAAAAATTTGATATGGATTTTTTTAATATAGAAATTTGACATTAATATTTGTTGATTTTACAATAATAACAATATTTCATACTTATCTTTCTTTTTAAAAAATTTATAATTTATTTCTCTTTGTTCAATATATATTTATATATTTAAATTTTTTTTAAAATTTAAAATAAAGATTTTTATCGGAAAACATAAAAAAGAAAGGAAAAAAAATTAATAACAATTTATATTTTTTAAATAAATAATTCATTGTTATGAAATTGTTGAATATTAATTACAAATATTTTTTTTTGTATATATATAGATTGTAACATTGCATTAACTATATAATTATTATTAATAATAAGAAAAACAAAGATTTACAAATTAGATTAAAATAAAAATATGTCTTTTAGAAAATAACAAATATTATTTTATTAGAAATATTATTTATACATTTATCTATATTTATATTTAAAAGAAACAAATAGTTATTATATTTCACTTTTTAAAACAATAAATAAACACTAGTTTCAATTTGTTATTCATATTATTAAACTTGATTATATTTATTTCACAACTCACAATACAACATATTCTAAATATCTTGATTTATTTTAAGAGGTCAGAAGTTATCATTCACAAATATATAATTATAATGGATTAACCCCCGCGAAGAATCAATGTTCTCCTTGCAAATCAAGTTACTCCGATAAATATTTACTGGTTTTAGAAATATATATATAAATTTAGAAATATATATAAGTAATAAACGTTAAGTTCATTACCACCTGTTGCTTCAATGTATATAATTTAAATACTACGAATTAGAATAGATGAATTAGAACGATTTACAATTTTAATTTACGTACATATTGTTTTAAGAAAGTGAAAAAAAAGTAAGTACTTATAAAGTAAGTGACATATATTAAATATATTAAACGGAGGTTATAATTTTATGTATTATATGAAATTATATAAAATAGTTCATAATATCAAGATATTTTTAATAGAACTTATAATGATATACAATGAACATTTGATAATTTTATGAATATTTTATTTTTATATAATATTATTTTATTTTAATACAAATATATTTAATTTTATACAATATAATGAATATATAATATGAGTATATGTATATAATGTATTTAAATAATAATATTATTTATAAAATTTTATAAATAATATTATTATTATAATATATAAACTATAATTTTATTATATATATAAAATATTTTTTATATTTCATAATAATTAATATTAAATTTAATATTTTTAGTATGCAGTATAATGTTTTGATTATTGGTGGTGGTGGTAGAGAACATGCTATTGCTTGGAAACTTTCACAATCTCCTCAAGTAAATATTTGTTATATTAATATGCAAAATTTTTAAATAATATATAATATTATATTTATAATTATAAATAATAAAAATAATAAATTATAATTATTTTTTCAGGTAAATAAAATTTATGTCTCTCCTGGAAATTATGGGCTTTCATTAGTTAATAAAGTTTCTTTAATAAATCTAAATGTTAAGAACAATAAGGTATATTTATTACTATTTTGTATTATTGTATTATTAGGAATGAATTAAATAAAATCATGCTTTTTATTACATAAAAAGTTTTATTACATAAACTTTTTATCATATAGGAAGTAGCAGAATGGAGCAAAAATAATAAAATAAGTTTAGTAGTTATTGGACCAGAAGAATATTTAGCTAATGGATTAGCAGATGAATTAAAAACTGTAGAAATTAATTGTTTTGGTCCACAAAAAGCAGCATCTAAAATTGAAACTGATAAATATTGGGCAAAAGAATTTATGGATAGATATCAAATACCTACTGCAAGATGGAAAGGATTTGTAAATGCAAAAGAAGCAAAGAAATTTGTTATGAAGTATATATAAAATTTTATATATAAATAAATAAGTTATGAAACATTAAAAATAATTTATTATACATTTAATTTATTATTTATTATTATAATTTATTATAGTGCACAATTTCCAGCACTTGTAATAAAAGCTTCAGGTCTAGCAGCTGGAAAAGGAGTTATAGTAACAAAAGATAAAGAAGAAGCATATAAAGCTATAGATGAAATTTTGATTGATAAGAAATTTGGTTCTGCTGGTGAATCAATAGTTATAGAAGAATTACTAGAGGGAGAAGAAGTTTCCATACTTGCTTTTACAGATGGTATAGCAGTAATTCTTTGCAAAAAAAAATTTAATTTTAATTATAATATAGTTTTTATTAATTTTTTTTTATAGGAAAAACTATTATACCAATGATACCTGCGCAAGATCATAAAAGAATATTTAATAATGATATAGGACCAAATACAGGAGGTATGGGTGCTTACTGTCCATGTCCATTATTAAATAAAGATAATTATGAAATAGTAAAATCAAACATTTTACAAAAAGCTATTGATGGTCTTAAACAAGAACAAATTCCATTTGTTGGTTTGTATTATAATTACACATATTTATATGATTATGTATTTAATCTTTAATATTAAAATTTTTAATTATTATTTTAGGAGTATTATATGCTGGATTAATGTTAACAAAAGATGGACCAAGAGTTTTAGAATTTAATTGTAGATTTGGAGATCCCGAAACACAAGTAATATTACCATTACTGAAGTCAGATTTATTTAATATTATGAAGGTAATTTATATTTTAATATGAAAAAATATTAAAATATAAGTAATTTACTTTACATTGATGTAGGCTTGTTGTGAAGGTTCTTTAATTGAATCTTTAATTGTTTGGGAAAAAAATTTGTTCGCTGTTGGTGTTATTTTAGCATCTCAAGGATATCCCATATCATCATCAAAAGGTCAAATTATAACAGGCATTAATGATGTTTTGCATACAAATTTTGTTTTCCATAGTGGAACAAATATATCTTCTAAAGGAGAATTAGTAACTAATGGTACATTTTATATACAA